GCTTTGCCCAGGTGAGAAGGGGGACCGCGGTGAGCGAGGCCTGCAGGGCAAGTTCGGCAGGACGGGGGTGGCCGGCAGCAGGGGCCACCCAGGGCCCAAAGGGCAGAAGGGCAGCGTGGGCGCCCCGGGCGAGCGCTGCAAGAGCCACTACGCGGCCTTCTCGGTGGGCCGCAAGAAGCCCCTGCACAGCAACGACTACTACCAGACGCTCATCTTTGACACGGAGTTCGTCAACCTCTACGGCCACTTCAACATGTTCACGGGCAAGTTCTACTGCTACGTGCCCGGCATCTACTACTTCAGCCTGCACGTGCACACGTGGAACCAGAAGGAGACCTACCTGCACATCATGCGCAACGCGGCCGAGGCCGTGATCCTGTACGCGCAGGTGGGCGAGCGCAGCGTCATGCAGAGCCAGAGCGTCCTGCTGGAGCTGCACGAGCGGGACGAGGTCTGGGTGCGCCTCTACAAGGGCGAGCGCGAGAACGCCGTCTTCAGCGACGAGTACGACACCTACGTCACCTTCAGCGGCCACCTCGTCAAGTACAGCGGGGACCCCTGAGACGCTGCTGCCCCTTGCTGCCCCCGTTAAGCCCTTAGCCCCTTTAGTGCCCCCACGCCAGCTGCAGGAGCCTGGGGACACCCCCGTCCAGCCCCAGCAATTCCCTGGAGCCCAACGGATCCGATGCACCTGGCAGTGGCAGAGCTTGATGTGGGGAGCACCCTTCCCTGCCCAGGAGCAGGGCAGCAGGAGGGAGCAGCACCAGAGACGCTGCGTAGGGGCTGGGGGCTGCCTGGCACGGGGGTCTCAACCCCGGCCTCCCCCTCTGTGCCTGGGGCTGCTGCTGTGGGCCCCCGTGCCCCACACGGCTTGTAGCGACATTAAACGGCCCTCGGGCTGAGTTTTTCTCACAGCTTCGCTGCCTCCTCCTGTTCCGTGCGTGCATCCTCCAAGTGGCTCCGGCAGGATCCCTGTGTCCGAGGGCCTGGGAGCTGCAGGTGTCCCAGGGAGGGGACGCTGACGCTGCAGTCCCCAGGAAGGAGCATTCCCAAGCAGGAGCAGGACACAGGGAGTGCAAGGGCTCCTGCTCCCATGGGACAGGGACGTGGCAGCAGAGCCCCACATAGCAGCCTCGCTGGCCAGGGCCCATCCTGCCGTCCCAAGCAGGACAGACCAGAGAGGGCAGCCGGGACCCTGGCCGACATGTGAGCTGGGAGGGTGACACGGATCCAAGGGTGAGCCAGAAGTCACCTGTGAGGACACAGCTCGGGTCCAGAGCTGCAAGGTCCCCAGCTGGGTTGAGCTGGAGTCCCACATGGCCACAGAGGAGCTGGGAGGGGATTAGGGGGCCTCAGGCTGAGCTTAAATACGTCATGGGCTGCAGGGTGCGGCGGCCCAGCTGAGGCTGCTCACACTGATGGGGCTGGCGGTGCCCTGGCCCTGGTGCTGAGGGTGCTGGATGGGGCCCTGCATCCTCCTTGGTGCAGGGCAAGGAGCCGGGCCCAGCCTGTCCCAACGCGGCTCCGTTTGGAACCACAGCCCGGGCCGCCAGCCAGGCCCTGCCCTACCCTGCCCCGGCCTCACGGGCCTGGGCGCAGGGCCGAGCCGCACGGAGCGGACTGGGGCTTCCACGAGGGGCCCGGCGACCAAAGCGTCCTCGGAGCAAGGAGAGGGAAAAGACGCGCCGGGTTCCACGGAGGAAACGCTGCTTTGCTGGGAGCTAAACCGGCCCGGGCACCAAATCCCGGCGCGCAG